CCATTTGATCTTTGGTGCAGTTTAACACTGAGGTATCTTTGTTTGATTTTTTTGGTCTGGATGATTATCTATTGATGCAGTCTGTAGTTCAAGCATTCAGCTATTGTTGGTATTTGGACCTCATTCGTCCCTTTATAACCAATACTATATGTTTTTGACATTGACTAATTGAACCCATGTTCAGCATAATATATATATATATTTTATAATTGCCTAAATGTTCTTGTGAGAAATATTCCTTTAATTAATTCATAGGACCCGCCCCCCCTTTTTTTTATCTCTTCTGATTAATTTGGCTTGAAGTCCTTTTGTCAGGTATGAGTATTTGCCATTCGTTTTGATATGACTTCTTGCTTTGCTTGGTTTATTGTTTACTGGTCTTTTCATTTTAGTCTGTGTGTGTCTTTCATAATGAGTGTGCATTTCTTGTAGTATAAAATGTTGGATCTTGTTTTTTTTAAGCCAGTCAATATCTTTGATTAGAGTATTAAGACCAAGTTTATTTTTACTGTTATTCATTAAGAATAATTTGTTGATTCCTACAATTTTTGGTGTTATTTTTTTCTGGTTCGATTTGAATAATGTTCTTTTTCTTGTTGCCCTCAGTCCATTTTAGAATTTTGCTTGTTGGCTGAGTTGGTTAATGTTTGATTCTCTCTTTAATTCCTCATGTAATCTATGGAAATTATCCTCTTTTTAAAATTTGAAGAATATTATATTTTAGGTAATTATAATTAGTTATGTAACATTAAAGTGTATACAATTAAAATGCATTTAAGCTAAGGAAGCTCGGTCCTGTATTTAAATCCTCAAGTTATATTATGTAGTAATTGTTTTCTGCTTTATATACAATTTAACACAGGATATTACTAGAACTGATAAAGCACTTTAGTAAAGACTTGAATACTCACACTACATAGAACTTCTCAGACTAAAATTATATTTTTTGTTTTTCCTATGCTTTATGTAAGGAAGCAATAAATTAATGGTTTTTGTAATGATATCAAGTTTCTAATGAGCAGCGTATTCACTGGTGTTTTTCCCTATTTAACACTTGTGTTTTCTGTTAAGCCATTTTTTTAAACATTTTTTTTTCAAAATACTTCCACATATATAGTGTTTTTGAGTTTTAATATTGTCATTTTGAGAGTTTTTTTTCAGTGTCCAAGAGAGCAGATACATATTTTCTCCCCTCTCTCTCTTAAGCTGTTTTACTATCATAATTTTTGAAAAGACCTTTTCAATTTTTGAGAAAGAATTTTGTATGAGGGTGTGGGATTTTTAAATTCTTATATACAAATATTATTATAGAACATGGAAAAATGAAAGCTAAAGAAAAACTAATTAATAACCTAATAATATCAGAGTACATTGGGCTTCTGAGTTGAGTATTAAAAAGTAATCATAGGTAAGTACTATGAAATAGTCAGAAATAATAATTTTCTCATTTTTTTCTTTACTTCCTGGGGGAAAAAGATGTTCCTGTTGTTTACTGTAAATCTGCAGTATATATGAAAAATCCTGATAATTTGGCCCCTTTTCACTTAGCATGGACAATATCAGGAAGTTACATGTACATCAAAGAAGGTCAATATAACAAGAAATTTAAAAGGTAAAGAAATGATCGAGTCACAGTAACTACAGTGGATGGAGAACTTCGGGAGCTACAGTGATGAACAACTATTGGGAACTACAGCCAGGAGCAGAGGAAGATTTTTTCTAAACACAGCTGAACACATACAGACAAGCTAAAGAAACCTCAAGTAGTAACTTTAGGGTCATCATTTTTCCTAAAGAGTCGGGAAAAACAAAGAATGAAAGGGGACTCAGCAAGGTTAAAGATTTGAAGATTAAACTGTTTTAATAATATGAGAACCTTATTAAAATATTGTTGAATACATCATATGTATGTATGGAAATATCACAGTGAACCCCTTTGTTCATTAATATATGCTAATAAAACCTGCTTCTGTAAAAAAGAGAAACTTTTAAAGTAGGTAAGTAAGAAGAAAAACTTAGCCCTTCTCCAGGATCCAGCTATTCTTCGTGATACCTAATTCATTTTCCTTCATTTAGATCTTGAGACCTACAAATATATAGTGGATTTTAGTTTTCATAATATTTAATATTTCAACTACAGTGCTAGCTAATATTTTAAAGTATATAAAAGTGTAATAAAAGTTTTGCTTCCTCTCTCTCTCTCTCCTCTCTTTCTCTATTTTGGTGGTACTTGAGGGTTGAACTCAGGGCCTTGTGCTTGCTAGGCTGGTGCTCTACCACTTAAGCCATTTCATCAGACCTCTGTTGTCTCACATTATGCCCAGGTAGGCCTTTGAACCTATTTGTGCTTCCCACAAGCTGGAATGACAGGTGTGTTACCACCGTGCTCAGCTATTGGTTGAGATAGGGTCTCGCAAACTTTTGCCCAAACTGGCCTTGAACCTCAATCATGATCTCCACTTCCCAAGTATCTAGCATTACAGGCTTGAGCCATCTTGCCTAGCTTGTATTCTTTTAGATGTTTTTTTTTGCTCTTGCAGTACTGGAGGTTAGACTCAGGCTTTGTGCTCAGAAGGAAGTGCTCTACTATTTGAACCACATCTTCAACCTTTTTTTGTGTTGATTTTTTGAGATAGGGTCTCGCTTTACACTCAGGCCTCATGGACTGCCATTCCTATTTGTGCTACCAACATAGCTGGAGATGTGGGCACACTCAATTGTGCCCAGGTATTTTTGAGTTGGAGTCTCTTGAACTATTTGCCCAGGTTGGCCTTAAATCATGATCCTCCAATCCTCCCTCTCCACCTCCCAAGTAGCTGGATTACAGGCTTGTAATCCCTGACCTTAGATGCTTGTTTTATATTTTTTTAATGCTAGGGACTGATCCCAAGGTCTCATGCATGCTAGGCAAGCACTTTACCACTGAAACTAAATCCCAGCTCATCTTCTTAGATACTTTCTTTTTTTGAGACAGCTTGTTATGTAGCCAGGTTGGCTTCAAACTCAAATCCTCCTGCTTCAGCCTCCTGAGTGCTGGGATCAGCCATGTGAGTGCTGGGAAGATACTTTGAAATACAAAATTTTTCAAAGGAAAAAACTACTAATTTTTATTTTGTAGATAAGTATATATATTTACTCAAAATTATCAATAGAAATCCAGTTTGCTATAAATTAACCACTAATATCTATGAATGTCTTCCTTAAATATGAATATAATGCTTAGTTCCCTTAAAAACAAAAAGTATTGTTAATTATCTTATCCTAAGGAAAATTAAAAAGAGAAAAAAATCCTAGAGTTTGCTTCTCTTCCTGTATATATATATATATCCTCCTTCCTTGCTTCTTATATAGTTATTATCCCTTGAACAAGAAGCAGTACCCAGGAGGTAAAATGTGAAAATTCAGGTTAACTTTTTTCACTGAATATGAGGGCAAAATGAAGTATGCACTTTACCCTATAGATTGTTAAAAATATAATGTTTCTTATAAACTAATAGATTGATTGTTATGCTGTTTTTCTGTAATCCCTGAAGTACACGTTTAACTTTTTTAGGTACTGAACAGAGGGTCAAAAGTTTTAATATTGGTCGTGGACGTTGTTTGCCGAAGAAACTCAAACGAAAAGACCGTGGGGGAAGAGTCAGTAAAGGACCTAACGTCTTTTCAGGAATGGATGATTTTCAAGAGGTACTGATAATTTATATATAAAGAGGAGGGAACTTTTCCATCATTTAATACTTTTGGTTACAAAGATGTATTGGGTTTTTAATGCCACTTTCCTAGTAAATGAAAAATTTGTAGTTCAGATCAAATGAGTATGAATAAACTCCCCTCAAAAAAAGAATTATTGTTTAATCATGATATTAGTATAGAAGTATAAATTTAGGTGACCTAGAAATTAAATTGATATATTTCAGAGCAAAAATGTATCCCATTAGTCCTCCATTGTACTTTCCTTTCCTAGAAGTCATCTTCCCCTGACGAAAATGGCAATAAAATGGTAGCAGCTCAATATGTAACAGGGCCAAAGAAGGGAGGTATCAAAAGAGAAAAGGGATATAAATGGTTGGAGAAATGAATGTATATACCTTGCATGTTATAGCAGCTATTCAATAAGTATATGTAGAATTGAGTCTAACTCTGAACGTGTACATCTGAATCTAATAGCAATTCTCTGGATTCCATCAGAGAGTTCTAGTAAACTTTGATTGAGGCCCATCCAGTGTTGAAGGAACATGCAGGTTACACTAGAGTGGCCAACATAGATCATTTCCATCCTAGGCCTTTCAGAGACTATGAGACTCCCCAGAGCCAGATAAATTCAGGCTACTTTCAGATCCATACTAATTTTACTGGAAAAAAAAAAAAACCAAGGACAGTCACAGAACAAGCAAACTTTTGTCAGACTTTGAAGACTATACTCTGTTGGCTAAAACATTTATAAGTTTTAAAAATGTTTATAGCAGCTATTGAATTTTCTGTAAATACCTTTTCTTTTCCTGATATTTCCTCATCTCTCTATTTTAACATTTTATAATCTTGTCCCTTGTATAAATATGTTTTCTAAAACAAATAATTTTTGGCAGTACTGGGGCTTGAAAACCCAGGGACTTCCACTTGTGATGCAGGCTCTCTACCACTTGGGCCTCACATCCAGTCCTTTTTCTTTAGTTATTTTTCATATAGGTCATACATTTTTGTCTAGGGCAGGTTTGGAACCTGATCCTCCCATTTACACCTCCTTCAAGATGACAGACAGGCTACCATGCCCAGATTAGTGATTGAGATGGGGGTCTCTAATTTTTTGCCAGGGTTGGTCCTCCCAATCTGTCTCCTCACTAGCTAGGATTATAGTTGTGATCTACTGTGTCCTGTCCTAAAGCAAATAAATTCTAAAATGACCAAGTAAGTGCCTTGGTTTTCCCTCCATCTTTCCCCTCTTCTCTCCTTTCTTATATTATGTTTTATTAGTGATAGTATGAGAAAATATAAAGAACATGGAATTAGAAGCCACAATTCCTGAGCTCTGTCCTGACTGCTGATTGCCATGTGACAGACAAGTAACTAATTTCTCTAATCATCAGTTTTCGTACTGTCTAATGAGGGACTAGATTACTTCCATGCTTCTAGTTCTTACATTATAAGAGCTCTTAAGAGTAAAGGACAATTGTGGTTCCTCTTTTAAGTTCAAACTTAAAAGGTCAGATCTTATTTTGTCATGAAAATTTGTTAAAGTTGCTTTATAATTTCTAGAGTACCTTGATTGTATTATTCCCATAGTTAGTATACTAAGATATTTTATGCTTGCTTAAACTGGACTAAACTGCAAAGCAAAACAACCTCCCCAATCCTCTCTTGAAACAAGGCACTATTAGAAAGTGATGTAGACAAAGAGTGAGTTATCAATGAAACATACCGGCAGTTTGTTGCATTTTCAAGATTTCTATGTGTGTAAGGTAAAAAGTTAGGTTAATTAGGTAAAAAATTACCTAATTTTTTACTTTTAAATTTCTGAGTTATATTCCTCAAGTTGGCTCATTAACTTTGCATAATGCTCTCTTTATGAATGCTTATTTTATTATAGTCACAAGTGTTTGTAGAGCATGTGTGAGCTTGTAATTTATATGCACTTGTTCTAAAAGAATCTATACATAAATATAAAAATATCATGAATGAAATTTATGCAGATTTAAGACATCTGAAATGATTCTATCAGCATATAAGTAATTTCATTGTGATTTCCTGTGGCAAGTTGAGTACACTTGTATTTTTAAAAAGTATCTCTACAACTATCTATTTATTTGGCATTCGTGTACCTTTTTCAAAATTCTTTTTTTTTCTTTTATTCATTTATGCATACAATGTTTGGGTTATTTCCCCCCCCTTCCCCCCTTTCCTGCCCCCTCTCACTCCCCCACACCCCCTCGCTATCAGGCAGAAACTATTTTGCCCTTTTTTTTTCTTTTATTATTCATATGTGCATACAAGGCTTTGGTTCATTCTCCCCCCTGGCCCCCACCCCCACCCTTACACCCACTCCACCCCCTCCCTCTCCCCCCAACCCCCCAATACCCCGCAGAAAACTATTTTGCCCTTATTTCTAATTTTGTTGAGAGAGAGTATAAGCAATAATACAAAGGAACAAGGGTTTTTGCTAGTTGAGATAAGGATAGCTATACAGGGAGTTGACTTGCATTGCTTTCCTGTGCATCTGTGTTACCTTCTAAATTAATTCTTCTCAAACTAACCTTTTCTCTAGTTCCTGGTCCCCTTCTCCTATTGGCCTCTGTCACTTTAAAGTAGCCACATTAGTTTTTCTGCATTGAGGGCAACAAATGCTATCTAGTTTTTTGGGTGTCTTACCTGTACTTATACCTCCTAAGTGTGCTCTCACTTTATCATGTGATCAAAGTCCAATCCCCTGTTGTGTGCCCTTGATCTAATGTCCGCTATGAGGAGAACTACGATTTTTGGTCTTTTGGGCCAGGCTAACCTCATTCAGAATCCAGTTCTGTCCATTTACTTGCAAATGATAACATTTCATTCTTCTTCATGGCTGCATAAAATTCCATCGTATATAAATACCACATTTTCTTAATCCGTTCGTCAGTAGTGGGGCATCTTGGCTATTTCCATAACTTGGCTATTGTGAATAGTGCTGCAGTAAACATGGGTGTGCAAGTGCCGCTGGAGTAACCTGTGTCACATTCTTTTGGGTATATCCCCAAGAGTGGTATTGCTACATCATATGGTAGGTCTATGTTTAGATTTTTAAGAAGCCTCCAAATTTTTTTCCAGAGTGGTTGTACTAGTTTGCATTCCCACCAACAGTGTAAAAGGGTTCCTTTTTTCCTGCATGATCAGTTTGAATGCACAGTATAATTTCTATTTTCTTATATTTGCTGAGGCTTGCTTTGTGCCCTAGGATATGATCTATTTTGGAGAAGGTTCGATGGGCTGCTGAGAAGAATGTATATTGTGTAGAAGTTGGATGAAATGTTCTGTAGACATCAACTAGGTCCATTTGGTCTATGGTATATGTTAGATCTAGGATTTCTTTATTGATTTTTTGTTTGGATGACTTATGTAGTGTTGATAGTGGGGTCTAAAGCCTCCCATGACCACTGTGTTGGAGTTAATATATGCTTTTAGGTCTTTCAGAGTATATTTGATGAAATTGGGTGCGTTGACATTGGGTGCATATAGGTTGATAATTGTTATTTCCTTTTGGTCTATTTTCCCTTTTATTAGTATGGAATGTCCTTCTTTATCTCGTTTAATCAATGTGGGTTTGAAGTCTACTTTGTCTGAGATAAGCATTGCTGCTCCTGCCTGTTTTTGGGGGTCATTGGCTTGGTAAATCTTCTTCCAGGCTTTATCCTAAGCCCATGCTTATTTCTGTCAGTGAGATGGGTCTCCTGTAAGCAACAAATTGTTGGATCTTCCTTTTTAATCCAGTTTGTCAGACGGTGGGGGAATTAAGTCAATTAACATTAAGTGTTAGTGTTGATAGGTATTGGTGATTCCTGTCATTTAGTTGTCTTAGTTATTTGAGGATTTGATTTTGTGTAGCTAAATTGATGTTATTCTCTACTTTCTTGCTTTTTCTTTTCCTTTAGTTTGGTACTGCCTGCCCTTTCATGGTTATGTTGGGTTTCACTTTCTGTGTGCAGAATCCCTTGAAGAATCTTTTATAGTGGTGGCTTGGTGGTCATATATTGTTTTAGTTTTTGCTTATCATGAAAGACTTTTATTGCTCCATCTATTTTTAATGATAGTTTTGCTGGTATAGTATCCTAGGGTTGAAGTTAATTTTATTCAGTGCCCAGAAGACCTCACCTCAAGCTCTTCTTGCTTTTAATGTTTCTGTTGAGAAGTCTGCTGTGATTTTGATGGGTTTACCTTTGTATGTTATTTGTTTTTTCTCTCTTATAGCCTTCAATATTCTTTCTCTAGAGTCTGTTCTTGTTGTTTTAATGGTAATATGTTGTGGGGTAGTTCTATTTTGGTCAGGTCTGTTTGGAGTTCTAAAGGTTTCCTGTACCTGTATGGGCATAGTTTTCTCTGGATTTGGGTAATTTTCTGTAATTATTTTGTTGAATATGTTATGCATTCCCTTTTGTTGCACCTCTTCTCCTTCTTCAATGACCATGATTCTCAGGTTTGGTCTTTTGATGGTATCAGTAAGTTCTTGCATTTCTTTTCACAGATCTTGAGTTTTTCAAAATTCTTATAGGAAAATATACTTTAAGTTTTGAGTGTGGAGGACCAAATTTTAATCTGCCATCTATTGTCCAAAGTATTGGCTCTGAGGGAATTTCCTGTCTTCTATAGATTGTGTTTTTTGCTCCATTTTGCAAATTAAGGGAAAAGGGAAAATCAATCACATAGGAGGATATAGTTATTGAGTTTATTTGATGTGCAAGGCACAGTGTGTGCTATGGGCTTGAAAAACAATGTTTTATAAAATTTATAAGTAACTTATTATATTTAGCATTAGTCAGCATCATATTCTGTCTCTGTTTAATCTCATACTTACAGCAAAAGTTGAGTAGGGGAATGAGGAGAACTAAGGAAAACATATAGGGCTGTGGAATTTCTTTTTCTTTGCTTTCTTTCTTTTTGGATGATACTGGGGTTTGAACTCAGGGCCTCATGCTTGCTAGGCAGGTGCTCTACCTGCCTACTACTCGAACCACTCAACCAACCCTTTTCTTATGTATGCGGTGGGTATTTTTGAGATAGGTTCTTGCTTTTTTGTCCAGGCTGGTCTTGAACCGCAATCCTCCTGATCTCTGCCTCCTGAGTAGCTAGGATTATAGATGAGAGCCATCAACACCCAGCTTATTTATTTTTGTGGGTGTGAGATTTAAACTTGGGGCTTCATGCTTGCATAGCACGTGTTCCACCGCTTGAGCTATATCTCTAGACCATTTTGCTTTGGTTATTTTGGAGATGGGATCTCTGGAACTATTTGCCCTGGCTGGCCTCAAATTGAGATCCTTCCCATCTCAGCCTTCCAAGTAGCTAGGATTACAGGCATGAGCCACCAACACCTGGCTTTCTTAATTTTTTAAATTTAGAAGTTAAAGGTGGTATGTGCTCCCTGTTGTTGGGTCTTTTTTTTTTCCCCTTAAGAAAGTACAAAATAATCATACACAGAAATCCTCTAATCCCACCACCCAGAGTTGTATACTAAAAGGTGGAGGTGTATTATTTATATATAGTGTTTATATATTTGTCTTTTTGTATGTATGTATATATATATATATGTGTATATATATATATATATATATATAGTCTTTGTATATTTGTTCTTTATTATAGTAAAATCGAAATCAATTCTTCACTTTATAATGTATTATAAGCATTTTCTTATAACCCAAAGTTGTTTTGCTGTCACATGATCTTATTATGACTGTATAATATTCTACCACCTTAATGTATCATAATTTATTTGACCAGTCTCCTAGTTTTAGATGTTTCTAGTTTTGTTTTTGTATGTAAGTAATTCTGCAGTGATTATTGTTGTGAATGAATCTTTGTATGTTTCCCTGAGAATTTCTTCAAAATAATTTTGAAAAGTACAAATTCTATGTCAAACAATATGGACATTAATTAATTAATTAATTTTTGTGATGCTGTTGATTGAACCAGAGCCTTGTGCAGTGTTAGGCAAGTGCTCTGTCATTGAGCAACATTCCTGGCCCCAACATGGGTATTTTAATGTCTTTTACAGCATATCTAGGAACAGTACTTGAGTGTATATTTTATAACACCTTTCCTAAAACTGAATATTATTATGGAATGTCAAGCTTTTTGTAATTTGTTTTTAAATGTAGTTACACGTTATCTTTAAAATAGTAATAGGCATCTTTGCAACCACTAGTATCAATAAGCAAGATTACCTGATATATATCTTTCTTCAATTAAATTAATCAGTATCAGAATGTCCAGTCTTGGTTACTTTTAAATGTCAATTTGTATGCTTTCTAGATCTATTTAAATATATATTTCAATGCCTATTACTATTTCATATGTAACATTCAAGTGAAATTTTTTCTTACAGTTTAGTAAACCAGGAAAAAAATGGAAGGTCATGACTCAGGAGTTTATTAACCAGCACACAGTGGAACACAAAGGAAAACAAATCTGTAAATACTTCCTGGAAGGGAGATGTATCAAGGTAAATGTATATGGAGTATATAAATTATTCTAACTTCTAAAATAATCTTTAAAATTTAAAGTCTTTTGGGAGAGTGGTTAATTTTTTCACTTCTCATATAGTTGTTCTTTAAACTAGTTCTTTAAAATGTGTCTTGCATGAAATGACTGTACATTAGAGCTCAATTATATTTGTAGAAATCAGATTTTATTTAATAAATATGTTAACATTTGTGGCAAATACTGACTATGTGGAAAATACTATTAGAAGGACAACTAATATGCAAATGACTTAATCCTTTTAGCTACCCTTACTAAGTAGTTACTGTCATTATCCCTATTTTATACATGGCATCAAGAGGCTAAATAAGTTCCCATGTAGCTCAGGTAGAAATGGTGAATGCCAGTGGGATGCAGAGAGAGTCCTCTGAGGCCTTGCTTTCTGCTGTCCTACTCCACTGGTTGGAAATTTTAAGAGATTGTTGGTGTTATTATTAAACTCATTGTTTAAATACTAAAGATAGTAGCCATAATTCCATCATGAAACACCATGGAGAAAATACAACTCAACAATCCCTTTGTTTTCTTTTTTTTTTTTTTGAAACTATTCCTTTGTTTTCTTTTCTTTCTTTCTTTTTTTTTTTTTTTTTTTTTTGGAACAGGGAGATCTGTGTAAATTTGATCATGATGCAGAGTTGGAGAAGAGAAAGGAGATCTGCAGATTTTATTTACAGGGATATTGTACCAAAGGAGAGAACTGCATTTATATGCATAATATCCTTTATATGTGTGTTAACTAAAATACTGAGGCTTTAAAGCATCATTATGTTTTTAAAAAATCATAAATATACTCATAAATCATAAATAACACATTACATAAACCAAGTCTAGTCATACTTCACACTTCACAAGGACAAATTAAATTTTATTCTTCAGGGAAATGAAGTAACTTCCTTTTGAAAAAAACTTGTATGAAATCAAGGAACTTTATATTTAATCAGCTCAACATGTTTCAAGAGACTGCTTATTGCAGGAGTCATTGAAAAAATATTTCTTTTGGCTCATAAATAACACATTTTTATCATTGTTTAAAATTATAAATTTCCTCAAATCTTACCACCCAATGATGAACACCATATATTCTTCTCTACTTTTTCCTTTGCAAATATACACATTTAAATTGTACTTTTGTCCCTATCCAAATGAAGATTTCATTGTATATTGTGTCCTTTTTAAAAAAAAAATACCTTTTTTCTATGTTAATTTCCCAAATATCTAGCTGTTTACTCACTACCACCGATGACTAATGGAGCTTTCCCCAGGGATTTGAAACTCTCTATCATGGACAGACTGTTTACATATGTATGCTTTTTTCCCTGGACTTTCTGTTTGGATCAATGGATTTCTTTGTGTTTATGTCTGTGTTGTTGTGCTGCTTTACACACTGATATTTTGTAAATTCTCATATTTATCTTTCTAGATAAATTTTTAAATAGTCTTATCAACTAAAAAGATGATGTAAAAAAAAAAAAGTGAATAGGGGATGGCAGGGTGGCTAAAGTGGTAGAGCACCCACCTAGCAAGTGTAAGGCCCTGAGTTCAAACCCCAGTACCACCATAAAAGAAAAAAAAGAAAAGAAAGTGAATGAAATGGAAAATGAAAAATTCCAGTTATCATAGAACTAAATGTAAAAAATGGAACTATACAATGCCCAGGAATACATGAATGAATTCCTTTATAGTCCACGAGCATGTAAAACTTTATTCTATTGTGACTCAAAATCTAGAATCTGTAAGGGAAAAGATCAAAACTTTGCATTAAAAGTTTAAATTCTCATAACAAAAGCATTAAGCTACGTAAAAAGATAAAAATGGAAAAATTGTATACAATTTATACACTTTATGAAGTACTGATACCCTTATATATGAGCTCCTAAAAATCAAGAAAATCCAAAAACAAAATCTGACAGCAAAGTTTGTTATCAAAATAGTGAGAAAATAAACACCCTTACATCTTGTTGATGGCACTGTCAAAAGGGTACATCCTTATGGGAGAGAACTTGGCAGTGTGTGGCAAAATTATACATGCATTGACCCAGCAGTCTCACCATTTTTTAAATTTTAGTCAGTTAATAGATCAGTTGGTAAATGATTACTGATGGCTGACTGCTGAAGTCATTAGGTGAAAAGTTGATGAGGAACTTTGTAATTAATTGATGGATTTGACTGACAGTACCTGAAAGGATTGATCATTCTTAACACCACTTAAACAACCTCAATCAGATATTACAAGCCTCTTATATATGGGACAACAGGAAGTATTTAAATACCATCTATGACAAATATTAAAATTAAATAAATTATATAAAAATAAAAGAGGAAAGGAAGTTCTAGAAAACAATAGAATTAGAAATAATTTGTGGATAATGTTTGTATTCTCATCTAAATAAAGAATCCAAAAGATGTTTTTAAAAGTATAGAAACTTTGTATATTGATTGTATACTAGTTGTAATTAATGCATATATTTGTTGGGTTGATAATCAGAAAGAAAAAGTATCCCATGCCTATTTGAAATAGATATGGAAATAGTTACAGAAGAAACGTACTTAGAATATGCTTTAAATACTCTAGTATTTGAGTGAGTCATGAAGAGAGTGTAGGGGTGGTTGCCAAATGGTGAAAATTATTGAATTGAAAATGGTCAGCATGAAGAAGTTCATTTTATCTCTATTTTGTTGTATTTGATAACTTTCAAACTAACTTAAGAAAGTCCTAAGTATCTGGGTTAGATGCATCATGCCTATAGTCCCATCTACTTGGAAGGTGGAGATTGGTAGGATCAGAGTTCAAGGCCAGACTGGGAAAAAAGTGAGACTCCATCTCAAGAAAATAAATTGGGCATCTAGCACCTGTCATACCAACTGGGAAACCTTAGGTGGGAGGATCATGGTCCAAGGCTGGGGTCCAGCAAAAAGTAAGACCTCATCTGAAAATCTAAAAGCATAGACAGCTAAAGCATGGAGGCCCTGAGCTCAAATTCCAGTATTTCCACAATGCTCCCCACAAAATCCTAAGTAATACCATCCTTCTGGGATACCCATACCTACAATATGGCATCGAGCTCTTCAGACTTCTCCTATGCCAAGGTATAGATGTATAAGAGAAGGTATAAATGTGCACAAATATATGCACATGCAATTTTACAAAAACGAGATCTGTCTATGATTGTGAAGATTTTATTTTTTTCACTTAAAATTTACATCTTGAATTCTATTTTAATGTGTGACATATAGTAAGGATCTGTTGTTTTCCACATTGCTGATTAATTGTAATCATCTTTACTGATTTAAAACAGTACCTTTGGCTGGGTGTGGTAACCTATGCCTATAAGCCTAGTTACTTTGGAGGCTGAGGCAGGAGTATCACTAATTCAAAGCCAGCCAGTCTCTGCTCAAAAAAAAAAAGACACCTGTATCAGATCCTACCCTTTCCTTTGTACACAGTTTTACTCTCATCCTTTGTGGTATTTGACTATGCCCCTCTAAAAGAATATGTTTGATACTTGGTATGATAAATATACCTTACTTCTTTATTAAGATGTTGCAATAAATTTGTCTTATTCAAGAAATTTTTAAAAAGGTTTCATATATTTCTTTAAAAACCAGATACCAAATAATATTTTTAATAATTTTTATTCTGTTCTTAAAGCATTTATTTCAGTCATGGCACTTGCAAATAGTGGTAATTTTATTTCATTCGTAATATTTATACTTCTTTTTTTTTAAAGAGTATCTTGCTATGTAGCTCAGTCTGGCCTTGAACTTGATAGCCTCCCACTTCAGCCTCTTGAGTGCTGGGATTACATATATGTATCACTATGCCTGGCCTAAGAGGGATTTTTTAATTTAGAAAAGGATTTTGAATTTTATCCGTTGCCTTTTGGATCTGCCAAAATGATCATAGGCTTTTTCTCCATTGACTTCGCAATATGATTATAATAGTACGTTTCCTAAAACTACTCAGGTATTCCCTGAACATACACCACCTAAAAATAGTGTACTTTTCACAAAACTTGCAGATTTAATTTTTTTTTTTATAAAAACTTAAGTCAGATTAGCTTATAGCTTTCATTGTTGGGATATTGACCTTTAACATAATATATCACACTCCTTTATTTTCTCCATAGATAGAAATTCTTGCTACAAGAATTATTTGTTCTGAATAATACTTTGTTTTATTGTGGAAAGTAACAGGGCCTACATAGTAAAAATACTATATAATATTTGCTTTAACCATTATAAATGTTGTTTTCATTTAAAAAGTAGTTTTCTAGTTTTAATAGAATAAGAGACTTAAAATTTTTGAATGCTTCTGCATAATTATTCATTCTAAAACTGAAAAATTATCTGATGTGATTATAACTTTAGTACAATATATAATAATACAGGCCTGTTGAGTCAGCACAATTTTTTTTATTGTGGCCAGAACACTTAATATGAGATTGATCCTCTTAATTTTTTAAAATGTACAGTACAGTATTGTTAACTATAGGCCCAATGTTCTAAAGCAGATCTCTACAACATAATCATCTTGATAACACTTACGCGGGTTTAAAAAAACTGGACTTGATTTTACTTGTTCTGTTCCTTAATATATTTGTTTACATGAATTTCCATGCAAGTTCTATCATAGCGGAGCAAAATGTTACCAAGGAGACAACTGTAAATTTTCCCATGATGATCTGACTAAAGAAACAAAGAAACTTTTGGATAAAGTAAGTAGTATTTGGCACCTTGAATGTTAGGTCTCTCAGATTCATTTGACTTGAATCATTTTTTATAAAGCATATTATATTCAATTCTGCTATGAAATTGAGGATTTGTTATAGGTTTTATTTTATTAATACAGTTGTGTTAGATAAGCAGAATAATTGGACTAGGGATTAGGAATATTGTACTTGGATCCCTATCTGTCATTTAGAGAAATAATTTACTTTGAGCAATACCCCTTACCTCTTTGAACCTCATTTTGTTTGTTGAAAATCAAGAATTAGCTCTCTCTGATTCATTTCAACTTTAATATTACATTTTTCTATTAACAAAACTAGTTTACTGAAGTTTTCAATTTTAAATGTGAGGAAGAAAGCTTGTTTTGAAATAGTAATCTCTACAATTTTAAGGTGTTGAATACTGATGAAGAACTTATGGATGAAGATGAAAGAGAATTAGAAGAACTCAGAAAGCGTGGCATAACTCCTCTTCCCAAACCGCCTCCAGGAGTTGGGCTTCTGCCAACCCCACCAGAGCATTTTCCTTTTTCTGATCCTGAAGATGATTTTCAGACCGATCTCTCTGATGATTTCAAGAAAATTCCATCTCTTTTTGAAATAGTTGTCAAACCTACTGTGGATTTAGCACATAAAATTGGAAAGAAGTAAGTTAAAACTTTCAAATGGCAGAAGCATTTTTCCCTAAAACTTGTATTAAGATACTAATTGTATTGCAAATTGGTTATAGAATTAAATTTAGCACAGGTAGCAGTTACCTGGCATGTGCTCAGATTGCTGCTTCCTCTTTGTGCTTTGTCCCCACCCTCTGCTGCTTGCTGTCAGTGCTTTTTTCTGCAGAATCTTTGCACAGCTTCAGAAACCTCTCAATATAGTAATCCTAAAGGACACTGCCAGGTTCGTGGATTTGGCATTCCTCCCACCTGATCATGAGCTTGCAGTGTTCATTGATAAATATCTTCAAAGAGTGTTAAATACTGTCTCCAGTATGTTTAGCTCTTTCTGAAAATTATTTCCTTAGACTGGGTAAGCTGGATCCACACTTGCATTTTCTAACAATACCATTCCAGCCCTGCTGCCTGTCCCTTAGTATCCATGTGCCTGGGCCTCTATTATTGATTATTCTTTTAACACTGAATCCTAGGGAAGCAATGAGGTCTCAACAGAAGAGGAACAAGAAATGTATGGTAAACATTGCAATGTGAACCATCAAGAGTATTTCTGTTAAGTTAAGAAAGCCAGGCATGGCACATGTGCCTGTAATCCCAGCACGTGGCAGGCTGAGGCAGGAGGATAGTAAGTTCAAAGCCAGCCTGGGCTACATAGACCCTGTCTCAGAAAAAAGTTAAGCAGGAAAATATATCCACTATTTTGTTAATATTGTGTATCAGATTCTAGTTAATGAAATAAGAGAATAATATAAAAAATATAAATATTAGTAATGGAAAGCATGGTGGTACATGCCTGTAATCCCAGCTCTTGATAGGTTAAGGCAGGAGGATCATGAGTTTGAGACTAGCCTGGGCTACATAGCAAGTCCCTGTCCCCAAAAAAACAAAAACCAAAGTGAAGATGGGAGCTCAAGTGGCAGAGTCTGCTTAGCAAGCACAAGGCCCTCAGTTCAAACTTCAGTATGGAAAAAGTGGAAAGAAAAGAAATGGAGAGGCAGACTAATTATTTTGGCAGTTTCCCTCAATATACCCAAAAGAATCAACCGACAAAGTTATTTTTTAAAATTTTTATCAGTATATGATAGTTATACAGGAGGATACATTTTGATATTTTCATATGTAGTTACAGTATATCTTAGTTAGATTTACCCCCTCCATTGTCTTCCTTCTTCCTCCCTTCTCCCTTCTTAGAACAATTTCAACAGGTTGCATTCTTCTGTTTTCATATATACATACAAAACACATCCACCAAATTCACCATCATTCACCCTTTCCTTATGCCTACCCCTCCCACTAGTACTAACTCCCAGAAAAAACCCATTTTACCCTTTTATCCTTCATTTTTAAAAAGTGTATATTGATAGTCCAAGGGAGTTTTACCTTGGTACTTCAGGCCTGTAGATATTGTGCTTTTATCAAATTAACCTCCCCATTACTCACTCTTTCTCTATCATCATGCTCCCTAATATTCAGCAGCTTATGCTGCATTGTTACATTCATAGGTACATGGGTTGTTTTAATATTTTTTTATTTTCTAACATTTTCTTTCCCTCTCCCACTGTCCCCTCAGACAGACCCACTAACACAATCTTGTTTTCTCTCTCTCACTATATATATGTGTATGTGTGTGTGTGTGTGTTTATATCATCATACATATATTTATATATGCATTTAACTTATAGGTCTAGCTTCCACATATGAGGGAAAACATGTGATCTTTGACTCTTTGTGCCTGTCTCACTTTGCTCAACATGATGTTCTCCAGTTCAATCCATTTACTTGCAAACAAGATAATTTCATTCTTCTTTATGGCCAAATAAAACTTCATTGTGTATATATACTACATTTTCTTAGTCCATTCATCAGTTGTGGGGCATCTGGGTTGTTTCCAAAGCTTGGCTATTGTGAATAGCACTGCAGTCAACTTGAATGTGCAGGTGGCTCTATCGTATCCTGGAGCTCATTCCTTCAGATATATGGTATCCTGGTAGTTTTATTTTAGTTTTCTGAGGGACATCCATACTGCTTTCCTTAGCGGTTGCACTAATTTACATTCCTATCAACAGTGTAGAAGTGTCCCCACATCCTCGCCAGCATTTGTAGTTGTTTGTGTTATTGATGGTAGCCATTCTGACTGGAGTGACGTGGAATCTCAATGTTGTTTTGATTTGTATTTCCTTTATGGCCAAGGATGTTGAGAATTTCTTCATATATTTATTGGCCATTTGTACCCTTCTTTTGAGAATTGTCAGTTTAGTTCATTTGCCCACTTAATTCAGTGGGTTAGTTTCTTTAGCTCCCTGTATATTCTGGTTATTAAACCCTCTGAACAAATAATAAATTAGCATGATACCCAGAAAGTAAAGCAACATTCAAAAAGTATTTTCATATGCCAATAATATAATAGACCATTAGAAAATGTAATGAAAGTAGTATGTTTGCATAGTATGATCTAATTTTGTTGTTTTAAAAAGTCTGTGTGTACCAGAAAAAGGACTAGGAGAAAACCAATCAATAAACTTATTTCTAGGTGGTGGATTAGAGGCTATTTTTATTTATCTTTGTAGCTTTCTGTATTTTCCAAATATTTATGATGGGTAAGTTTTAGGACAGCTGGTAGTAAGGAGCAATTTATAAAACTATAGTTAAATGAGAACAAGAGGCATGCAAAGTGTTTCTACCTATGGATGGTATGAAACAAATTGTTTCTTAAACACATGGTACTATATTCAGATATAGAAAAATCATACTTAATCAATAATCTATTTAGGAGTATAACATTCTTATTTGCCTCTTTTATTTAAACTAAGAAATATTATTCTTTCTGTCCACAGACCACCAGCATTTTATAACAGTGCCTCACCACCAGAACCAGAATTTCAGGGGAGCAGTCCACATCCTCAGCATATCTATTCTGGGTCAAGTCCAGATCCTGGACCTAATGTGTCTCAGGAATGCAGTAGTCCTGTGATGCATCCAGGATCCCCTGGACATTACCCATGTATAGGATCTCCTGGCCTACCAATGCCACAGAGCCCACCATTGCCACCTGGTCCTCCTGAAATTGTAGGCCCTCAAAGTCAAGGTGGAGGACTTGTTCAACCAGATGCACCTTTGATACCACGGACTATGAGTGGAGCTTACCACTCCCCGGGCTTTCCAGGGCATATAATGAAAGTACCCAGAGAAAATCACTGCTCTGCAGGTTCATCATACCAGCAAATTCCTGGTGAAATGCAGCTACATACTGATTATGACTTCTGCAAAGCCCAGCTGAGTTTTATGATAATTACTATTCACAGCATGCTGTACATAATTTTCCTGAACCCAATAACTCTGATGGTAAGTTACCTTTTAAAATAACACATTTCTAGTTTAAAATATTTAATGCGCTACTTTTCATTAAAACCATAATAGGAATGTTTATTTTAAATAACACTTAACTAAAAATTGATGAAATTGAAACCTTGAAGTATGTTTTCAATTTTGTCAAAACAATAGACACAGAACTTTAGATAACTTTTAAAATACTTTAAAGTTACATAGTAACTTGAGAATTCAATATAATTACTAGAGCTCCAATTTCTTATACCCTTGGTGGAATTTGTGCTCACTTAGTGTCTGTCTCTTCTATTATGTCTGTAGATGGCATATGGCATGAGGAATTTGTCCAGCAGCACCCTCACATCATTCAAGACTCTCCTAACCTGGGGAATGGACCTGACATTAGCAGCAACTTGACAGGCCATGGCCCTCTGCCTGCTCCAGGGCTCCTCCCTGCAGTGCAGCGAGCTCTTTTCATCCGACTTACTCAGAGATACCAGGAAGGTGAAGAACCAGTTAGCACTCAACCTCATAAAGCACCAATCAAGGAAGAAGGTATGTCAGGTGTTTAATAGCATCTTACCTATTTGAATAGATTAAAATGTGAAAATTACTTCCTCTGAACTATTTATTTCCAATTTACCACATTTCCCCCATTTTTAGGATTGCTTGTGATTTCAGAAACATTGATGCTTTAATTAATTGTAAAAGGTTTGACTTGAAGCAGTGAATAGATTTAAAGCTGGAGTACAGGGCCTACATGAGCAGACTCGTAAGCAATGAAACTTTCTCTCTTTTTTTAGAAAGAAGAGAAATAGAATAGGGAAGGATCATTCCAGTTGGGGAATTTTGACTTGTAATTCTACTTTTAAATGATTCATTTATTAGAGAAAATTTTATGGAAATAGTATGTATATTTCTGCTTTATTATTAAGAAATTGTATTTCTTTTTGGGGGTGGTATTAGTGTTTTGAACCCAGCCTTGCAATTACTAAGCAGGTGTTCTACCATTCAAGCCATGCCTCCAGCCCTTTTTTGCTTTAGTTATTTTTCAAAAAGGGTCTCACTTTATGCATGAGCTAACCTGAGCCACAATCTTTCAGTTTAGGCTTCCAATGTAGCTGGGATGACAGGTATGTACCACAACATCCAGCTTTTTTAAATCGTTTGAAATGGGGTCTTACGAACTTTTTCCCCAGGCTGGTCTCAAACTGTGATCTTCCCAGTCCCCATCTTCCAAATAGCTGGGATTACAGGTATGAACCACCATACCTGGCCTCAAGAAATACTATTTTCTTTTGGTGGTACTGGGGTTTGAACTCAAGGCTTCGTGCTTGCTAGACAAACACTCTACTGCTTGAGCCACACCTCTAGCCCAAGAAGCAGTATTCTTAATATAAAAAGGTTGTATGGAAATAATAAGTTTACTTTAGTATTTTTGATGTCAATAATAAGTTAGTTAGCTAAGGATAAGAAAAGTTTGAAGCATCTACTTCTTTGTATGAATTACAAAATTGATATGTTTGGGCACTCTTAAACATGAAATATATGAATAGCTACGTAAAACTAGATAACATGGTAGTTACAATCTATTAAATGAACATTAAAGACAGTAACGTTGACTTTTTTCTTTTTTTAACAGGAAAATGAGGGATTCCTAATAAATGAATTCCTTACACAATTTAAGTTTGCTTCTCTAAGTGCTAAAATGTAATTTTAAGATGACTATCTTAGTGATACTCTTTCTTTAAATTCTTAATATAGTTTTAATTTCTCATAAGCAAGGAAGTTAAAATTTCTAGATGATAGATGATTATATACTGTATTGTATAATTGTTGAAGATCTATGCAGGTTATTTGCTCTACATACAGAAATAATCTTGAATATCCAGGTTTGTTGGTGTTCATTTTTATAAATTTTAATGCTCTTATGAATTTTATTCTTTTGATGAAAGCTATTAACTATACTTTTGTCTTAATGTCTCTTTTCTAATTTGTGACTCTACTTTATTGCTTTTTTTGTATTATCCATTTATTCCAAAAAGGATATAAGACTGCTTAAGGATAGAAGTGAGAAATACTAGGAAAAATTTAATTTCTGTATAGAAAATATCTGTAACAGTTAAAAGTGAATCACAAGTCCAATACTAGACTTCCTAAAGGTCAAAGGGAAGAAGAGAGCTAGTGTCTAGAAATAGTTTTACTGACACTGAGATATGAGTAAAATATTTTTTTTTATAGTTCTGTTCTCTCACTGTACTTTATTGATGTCACAGATTGCATCTTTATATATATTATATGATGTACCCAATAACTTAGATTCTTATTTTTAATATATATTTTTATATATGCTGTTTTAAATCACATCCTTAAATGCCAATGCTCATTTCATAAACACTGCTGTGTTCAAATTAACCTCATGACACTAAAGTTTCATACAGTAGAAACACATTAATGAGCAGTGAGATTAGGTAAAAAATGAAAATACTTAGGATATTGAGACAACATATTTTAGGATGTATATATTATATATTTAATATTTATGTATATGTGCATATGTATATGCACACTGTGTTATGACTGAATGTGACGTGTAGATACTTTGCGGCCAGTTCGGAACCATCCTATAGTGCACCTTAATAGAGAGGAAAGAGAGTCACTCTCCTGAAGCATCAATTAGTAATCCTTTCTACTCTACTAGAAGACATCTGATAGCCGGGCTTCTTAGTGCCTAACAGACTAGGGTTAAGTGGACCTTAGGAGTAAGGCCCAAACAGTTTGCTTAAAGTTAAAGAATATAAATTTTAGGGTGTGAGTTTTGTTATTTTTAATGTTTTAATAGCTAATATATATTCTTAGATCACCTATCTAAAAAATATAATGAAGTATATATAGAGTCTCTGTCATGTCCCTCGTTTGTGCAATTTCCATTGCTCCCTAACAGTCCTTATTAGTGATTTCTTTTCTTCCCAGCCACTTGTTATCTTGATAAAATCTGAGCTATGAAGCTCCAGGATTGCTTGACTTAAAGAGATCCCAAAACATTCTGGAATGCCTTTCCAAGAGTATATTTTCTTTTTCCCCCAACACTGTCATAGATACCATGTATACTTCTAAGTTCCCTTTGGCCAATGAAAGGCCCTGACTTTTCTTTAACTTGAAAGATGCTACACATATTTCAGTATCTCACCTCTTCCTTTATGAAGAGTTTAACAACTGAGTTGATAATTACCTTACCATATTTTATTTTGCTCAGTAATGAACCCTGGAATTTCTATTATAGATTTTTTGAAGTTAGACTACAGTCATGTCAGAAACAACACATGTTATTTTAATTAAAACCAAATATGAATGCTTTGTTCTTTACCACAAGTTTTTGTCTACATTTAGATGATACAGTTAACTGGTATTCCAGTAGTGAAGAGGAAGAAGGAAGCAGTGTCAAGTCAATACTGAAAACATTACAGAAACAAACAGGAACTTTAAGGAATCAGCAGCAGTCTTCCACAGAACTCAGCCCTCCTACTGATCCAAGACTTGCTAAAGAGAAAAGTAAAGGAAATCAAGTGGTTGACCCTAGACTTAGGACGATCCCAAGGCAAGACATTAGAAAACCTTCTGCATCTGTACCAGTGGATCTTAGACTTGCATGGGATCCCAGGAAGTTAAGAGGAAATGGAAGTGGTCATGTAAGCTCTTCAGTTGGTGGAGCAAAGTTTGATTTGCATCATGCAAATTCTGGCACTAATATCAAACACAAAAGAGGAGATGATGATGATGAAGATACAGAAAGAGAACTGAGAGAAAAAGCTTTCTTAATACCTTTGGATTCTTCACCTGGTATAATACTCCAGGATCCAAGGTCACGATTGAGACAGTTCAGTCACATTAAAATGGACATTATCCTAACCAAGCCCAACTTTGCAAAACACATTGTGTGGGCTCCAGAAGACTTACTTCCAGTACCTTTACCTAAACCTGATCCAGTATCTTCAATCAATTTACCTCTGCCCCCTCTTATAGCTGACCAGAGACTCAATAGGTTATGGAATGCAAAAAGTGACCTTCATCAAAACACACTGTCCACTGATTCAAAATTAGTGGCCAAAACAAAAATTAATCCAACAAACAGAGAAGGATACTTAGAACAATTTGGAGACTTACACAATTCAGGAAGTAAGTTAGGAGATCCTAGGCTACAAAAGAATTTTGATCCTAGGCTTCACAGACTTCCCAGTACAGAGTCTCATCATTTGCTTATGAAGGAATCCCATACATCAAAGAGTGCCCCTCGTTTAGCCAGATCAAACCCTGGTTCATCACAGCCCTTGGGAACAATAACTAGCAGTGCTGGTCCTGTGGCTCTACCTCCATATGCCCCTAAACTCTCTTCTTCAGCTGGTCTTCCACTGGGAACTTCAAGTTCAGTTCTTGGTGGCATTAGTTTGTATGATCCTAGAGAACAGGGTTCATCATCTATGTCAGAGCTAGCAGCAGTTTCTTTAGGAGAAAATGCAGAGAATCAGAAAAAAAGTGGTAGTTTAAAAATTAGTGACAAAAATGAACCTTCTCCTGGAGAAGCAATCCTGCCACACAAAACCACTCCAAACACTGAAGTTACTATTGATGGGCCAGCTGACACAAAGGCAGACAGCCTCCAGAGTTCCGGTAAGATTCAAGTCTCAGCAGTGCACAGTCTTCCTATTCAGGCCTTAACAGGCTTAATTAGACCCCCATACAATGATCCAAGGCAAGCAAGGCAGCCTGGACAGGTGAGCCCAACTCCAGATAATGATCCCAGTAAAGAAACAGATGACAAATCTCTGAAAGAGGTTTTTAAAACTTTTGATCCAACTGCTTCACCATTTTGTTAGCTATTATGTAATTAAGCAGTTCTTTTCACTTGTGATATTTCAGTCCTCTGCTGTTTTGTAACTGGTTTACCTCTATAGTTTATTTATTTTTAAATTATAAACACTTTTCAGCTGCTAGTATCAGAACCACATGAAATTATATCCTCTAAAGCCTGTGGTATTTTATATAATATTTTTATAACTTTAAGAGACTGTAGTGATTGACATAGAAATACATATCATGTTAGTTTCAATAAAATACTTTTATTGTGAATAATTCACCATGAACTCAGCACTCTGCCTGACCATATGCCAGTTGTCTTTCATAATCAATGTTTAGATAAACGACTTCCACTTTTATATGGTTGTTTAGTTTTAAGCAATATGATATACATTACTTTTGAGAACCAGTATTTTGACTAGGACCCTCTATTTGTCAGCACAGAAATGATTAGTGTGTAATGCCAACTGCTAACTAAAATGTAAAATGAAGTATCAAACATTGTAAAATCATAATTAGCAGAGAAGTTCATGTTTAAGGGCATCACTTTTATTAGTATTGGCAATATTATTTGTGTAAATGAAGCATTTGAATGTCGTATCTTTTTAAAGTATTTTATTGTATACTGTATTATAGAAGTTGGAGCTATATAAATAGAATGTTTTGCTTAAGTGAAATATTCCCAAGTTCTTTAACATAACTTTTTAAATTTAATTTTTCATATTAAATAGTTATGAATTACTGTGTTACATTGTGATGTTATATATTTCAGTGTTTGTCTTTAGCAGCATAATTTATATTACTTTTTCAAATGATGTAGCTATAATAATTGTGTTCATTATGACTTTGGCAATTTTTAACAAAATTTTAAAAGATCCAGTGAGTCTATAGTGATTATTACACTAATAATATGTTTTAAATGTCTAGGTTCTATATTTTTTCTTAAATAACAAGAAAATACAGAGATGGCAGGTATAGTCAACTGTAAATGGCTACCAATAAAGAATATGTTTCAGATCTCACCTGACTGGTGGAATTACCTGGTATTTCAAGTATTTAAATTTTAGCTTGAAATCTAAATTGGTTAGAAATTGTATTTTAAGAAAAATAAGTTGCATTCATTCTTGTGTATTTATTGCAGTATATAAAATAATGACAACTCAGTTTTATACATCTATAACTTACAACAAAGTATTACACTGATAGGTGCATCTTGAGCTGCAGGTATATGACAAGGTTTGCTGGTAATAGCTCCAATAAGTAACTTGAAAAAGAGAATTTCATTATAAAACATAAAGTGATTTTTAAAATACACATCAAAATATTTTTGCTTCCATTTGTTGCCTAAAGTGGTTCTGGAAAACATTTGGGGGTTAAGACATGCTGTTTAAAGCCATATAGAAAGAATTTTCTGATTTATTGTCCAAATTAACTTTACTGCTAAAAAGTCAATAAAATAGATAAAAGTGACAGAAAAAATATATTCCAAAGTAATATAATTTACTCTTTTTTATCGGGATAAAAATCAGTAAGATTGCTGAAATTTAGTAAATTGAAATTTTTAGCAATCTTTAATTCCATTCATGTATTTTATCATTCTTATATTAAGTAATGCAGTTTACATTTCAAATATCATACAAGAAAAGATTATTTGGCTTGTTAAAAATCAAACTTTTGGCCAGGTGTGGTAGCTCAAGCCTATAATCCTGGCTACTTAGGAGGTGGATAGCAGGAAGACCATAGTTGGAGGCCAGCCCTGGGAAAAGTTTGCAAGATCCCATCTCAACCAATGAAACCTGGACATAGTGGTATGTGCTTGTAATTTCCAGCTACATGGGATGTGTGAATAAGGGGATTGTGATCCAGGCTGACCCAGGCATAAAGCAAGACACTGTCTCAAAAAACCAAAGCAAAAAAGATTAGGGGTGTGACTCAAGTGCCTGCCAAGCAAGTTGACCCCAGTATTTCCCCTCCCCAAATCAAACTCTTAACAAAAGCTCATTTTATTTTAACAACTAGAAGAGATGTCAAAAAATTAATTAAAAGGAAAGGATTTTCTGGTGGTGTGATTGAAGTGGTAGAGCTCTTGCCTAGCAAGCCCGAGGCCCTGAGTTCAAATTCCAGTACTGACAAAAAAGGAGTAAGGTTTAAAAATTACTAATGCAGATTATGCAGTATTCAGTATTTATTTTATTTTATCATTTTTACATTTACTCACATGTGTATACATTGTTTTGGCCACCGCCCCCCTTCAGTATTTCTTGAGTCTTTATTAACTGGTGTCCTAAATGCTATTTTACAAGAAAGTTTGGTCTTTAAAATTTGACAACATATTTTATGTGAAAGTGTTTTATTTATGTTTAAAATAATGATTTTTATTTACCATACAGTTTTTTTTTTAATTGAGATAACTATTAGCTTAGGGGATATCTGTCAGATCCTGTCAACATGGATTCTCTTAATATTCTTCTTTTTTCCTATTTTGTCACAAAAATTTAGCAAATAGTTATTTCTCTCAATGAATAAAGTCCTCGTTAAGGTGTACTGATGTTTTTGGAATCCATGAAATTTAGTTTACACCTTCACACTGAAAAATAAGTTCTTATTTTTAAAAGCTACACCTTAAACATTGTATGCATATATGAATAAAGGAAAATAAAGATAAGAGAAATAATTTGTGTCTTAAAGGAAACTGGACATAGTCAGGATGTCACTTACCTATTTATAATGTTTGCAACTGATGTTTTATATCTGTTGACTTCGATGTTGAATTTTATTGGTATAAAATTGGGACATCAGAAGACCATAATGATTTAGAGTTAGCAACTGCTTTTCTGTATCTTGGTTAGGACTTCATTCTGAACTTGGAAACAAATCAAATGTGGAAGTGACTGTACACTATCCAGTAATTGGATCTTTTTCTGTTGGCCCTCTTTGTTTCTCAGCCTAATCTCAACTCCCAGAAGGAGGCTGCAGTGAAAGCAGATTAATTGTGAAATGATGGTTTGCTTAAGTTTCTCTTTGTCTTTTAACTTGCCATGGGACTTTATGATTTAAAGTTCCTTGCTGGTCCTGTTTATTTTAAGAGTGGGAAAATAGTGGATTATCTTGTATAGGCTGAATTAATTTGTATGTGAGAACATTCAAGAGCTGAAAAACAATGAATTCATATTCTTGTTCTGAATTTATTTCTACATAGTTAATCTCCAAGTCTAGTTTCTTATCTGAAATAGGGATAATTTTGATTGATTGCAGGTTTGCTGTAAAAGGGAATCATTTTTGTAAAGTATTTGTAAATAGAAAATTATAACTTTCACAAAATAATCATTATGTTCCTATTAGAGTGTGTTAAATTGTACAAATTCTAAAATAACATGATATGGTTCATGTGGTTTACCAGTTTTCTGAAAATTTGGATGATGTATACTAAAGTTATGACAATAGAATTGCCTGAGAAGTTGTTTCAGGAAATATTAACCCATCAAATTAATGTCAACTAGAAGTTAGGAAATTCCTAGGGACCTAAATGTGAGGTCTTGGAATGGCTGTGAGATCTATTTGCACAATACATAATCTGATGGTGGAGATACTTTCCCTGAGTTCATCCTGTGCTGAGGGCTGTATGTTGGAGGACTGTTCTATGCTGAGGGCTGTTACCTAAGAGCATACGTCTGCAGTCTTACTCCATTGATAGGGCCCTGTAGTCTTCATTGATTAGGCTTTCTCTGAATACCTAAAATGAAGAGCAGTTGTGTTTTCAGAAATGACTTGGCAGTACTTGATAATATGTTCAAAATTAAGGTCAGATTATATAAGCATTAGAAAACTATAATTTGTTTAAATAAGACTTAGATTAAGAAATTGAAGCTTTGAGAAAATGTAGCAAACAGGGTGTATGTTTGAAGTTGTTTTCCTCACTTATGTGTTGGGATCTGGCATTATGTAATGCCGTTCCCGGAATAGTTTAATGTGATTTGCAGAGCTAGTTTCAGTGGCCAGCAATTGCTGTATTGCCGGATTTTGTGTTCAGCTACGTACTTATCAGTAGTATTTGCAATTGTAACAAAGCCCAAATTAACTTGTCTTTCTTGGAAGGATACAGATAAGAAAGGACTTTTAATACCATCATAGTACTTAGAACTTTTAATTTTCAAATAAAAAATAAAATTCATGTTTTATGCTTTTGGAGACAGGATCCATCCATGTTGCCTTATTTCTATGTTTCCCCATAGCAACCGGTCGTTCTGGGCACAGAATGGGTGCTTTAACTGTTTTGATTGCTTTCTGACATCCATCCAAGTGTAAGTTTTACAGCTGCTATCACCTATGAAAGCAGTGTGGCAGAAGCATTCCATGATCAATTTAGGAAGAGTGAGGCTTAACAATTGTAGCTCTTTCATAGACACAGGAAACCCACCCCCTTTTGGTGCCCATACTCTACCTCTGAGCAATGCAAAGGCAGGGTTAGGAATTAAGTGCTTTTATCAGACCTCCTGGTTTACAAGATAACTCTTTCCACTCCACAATGGAAGTTTGGAAACCAATAAATTATTCCTACAGCTCCACAAAGGATCCTTTTTTTAACCAGAAAAGGAACTGCATAAGTAGGATCTCACATTTTTATTTTAAAATATTTCTCTTAATTTCCTCCTTCTCTGAAATATCAGTCAAAATTATGAAGATAGGTCTAATCTAGTGAATTATCAACAGCGTTTCACATGCAATCTTTTATCCTGACATCATGGGCAGAATTTACCCTTTCAAGTTATAATTGAACTCTAACTTTTAGGTCTTATATCTGTTTTTTAAACATCCTTCATTGCGCTTTTCTTTCATTTTTAGTAATTATTGTACTGGAGTACAATGTGACATTTACAAAGTTCTTCTACTATATCATAGTTTAATTCATCATTCTTTATCCCCCCTCCCCCCATTCCTGGAACTTCATTACACTTTGAAATAGAGCAGTAATATGCTGCAGTTACCAAAATTATTGTTGGTATAAAGGAAATTTGTTGGCTTTTTTTCTTCTTTTTTTTTGATGGTACTAGAGTTTGAACTCTCAGAGCTTTGTACTTGCTAGGCAGATGTTCTAACACTTGAGCTATACCACCAACCCTTTTTGCTTTAGTTATTTTTCAGATAGGGTCTCTCATTTTTGCCCAGGGCCAGCCTCAGACCACAATCCCACCCACATAGCTGGGATTTCAGACATGTACCACCATATTTGGCTTTTTGTTGAGATAGGGATCTTGCTAACTTTTTGTCCAGCCTGGCCTTGAACCAAGGTCCTCCTGCTCTCCATTTCCTAAATAGCTGGGATCACAGGCACCTGCAACCACACCTGGCTCCAGAAATCTGTTTCTTAACTTTGAAGAAAATTACAAGTTCTTAGAATATTTTATAACATCCTTAAGTTGCTTGTTTTTTTTAACTTAGTTTATAAGAAAAGGTGAATGTACCCCACTTACAACATTTTAGAAAAAATCAGATCTGCAAATTATCCATCACCACAGTTGGCTTATTACTGATTTTATAAGCTGCTGTGGGAGGGTGGGGGGGCATGCCTGGGGATGAAACCCAGGGCCTCAGCCTGCTAATTGAGCACTCTTACCACTGAGCTCCACCCCAGCCTTTCATTACTGATTTTAGTACTTTTGTAAGGGTATTAAGGCTAAGAGGAATAGTGAAATTTGCATTTGCTAATATTTCATCAGAAGTCTGATCTGTAATTTATTATAAAGAGATAAGTATAAAGAGGGTCATTTAAAAAAAATTAGCAAAGTTGTTCCCAAACCTTCATTATCAGCAATGTCTTAGGGTTACTCATCAATGATAGATTATACATGTCATATGCATTTCAGAGAAAGTGAAAAATGGCAAATTAACCATTATCACAGATAACATCTACCTCTATTTTACAGGAGTTTGCCCTCCAAATGCTTGTGAGGCAAGTAAATAAGATAGAATATTTTTTTTAAGAGGCAGAATGATATTTCCATATAAAGGTAATAATCAAAA